GGAGTCGGTGTGCTACAAACTGACGTGCACGGCACCCTACTCGCTGATCTATAGCGGTGTGCCAAATTTGAGTGTAATCGGCTCGGCCATTTTCGAGATCTGGAAGCGTCACCCTGCACGTGCGCACGTGCAAGCTGTGTCCAATTGCATTGTGCATGGGACCCTATTCGCCGGTCTCTAGCGGTGTACCAAATTCGAGCTCAATCGGCCCAGCCGTTTTCAAGATCTTGAAACGACCCCTCCACGTGCGCACGTGCAGTTGCATCTCAACCGTGACACATGGAAATACATACTAACTGACTTGTGCACGGCACCCTACTGATCGATCTCTAGATGTTTGCCGAATTTGAGTGCAATCGGTCCAGCCGTTCTTGAGATCTGGAAGCGTCACCCTGCACGTGCGCACGTGCAAGATGGGTCCAAACTGACTTGCGCACGGCAGTCGGCACCCTACTAATCGGTCTCTAGCGGTGTACCAAATTTGAACTCAATCGGCCCGGCCGTTCTCGAGATCTGGAAGCGTCACCCTGCACGTGCGCACGTGCAGTTGCACCCCAATCGTGGCACATGGAAATACATACTAAATGACTGCAACCTACTGATCGGTATCAAGCGTTATGCCAAATTTGAACACAATCGGTCCAGCCGTTCTCGAGATCTGGAAGCGTCACCCTGCACGTGCGCACGTGCAGTTGCACCCCTACCAAGACACATGGAAATGCATCGCCTGGAAAGTGTCTACCTCCATGCCAAGTTTTAGCGCAATCGGCCCAGTAATTACCGCGAGCTATTGCGCTTATTACAAAACAGGCACCTCTTGGCTTTGCACGTGGAACGTGCGTTAGGGGTCACCCATATGCATCGAGAGTAGCACACTATGTGAAAGAAGGGAAAAAGCTACCCCACACAAAAAACCGCACGTGTATCAGCCCAGTGGTTGCCGAGATATAAGTCGTACAAAAACGTCGCCACGGCGGCCGGCCGCTATTTAGCAGTAAAATCGTGTCGCATCCTTCTATGGGAGGTATCCCCGTCACCTGCCACTACTTCGTATACTGTCTGAGCAAAGGCCATACGTTACGGTCCAAACTCCATAGTGAGGCGGACATACGAATTTACGAGAGTTTAGCGACGAAATGATTCACTTAATTGTTAAGTAATCGGTACCATTAGGTACGCCATAAATTTTATCTAGCATCTCACCGTAGATGCAGTAAAAAGTGCTTTACTTTTCAATGTATATAAAGACTTGCTCAGCTCAATCAGTTCACTCTGTATTGGCTCAAGCCGTATCATGCGAACGCAATACAAACTAGAGCACCGACAGCGCAGCGCTCCCCAACTCACTGCTCGCCCAGTCCACCCGGGCCGCCGCCACGACGGCCCCCCCGCAAGTAGGCATCCCGCACTGCACCGACAGCCGCGGGCGACCAGCTGACCGGCCAGCTGACCGGCCAGCAGCCGGCGGGCGGCAAGCCGCGGATGGCCGACCCGCCGGCGCGGCGAGGGAGGGGAGGGACGCAGCTGAAAGACCCGACTACATATATATCAAAGAAACATTATATGTAATCATCGATGACGCGACATATATCTGCTTTATTGGGTTTAGCGGTGTAGTCTGTGATGCCATCACAATGAAAATAGCCTAGTTTTGTAGAGCATCAAATTCTGATTCCATAACGACTCTCGCTAGTCCATTTTCAATTGTAAATAAGCCTTTTATTGCGATGCAAAGTCCCGAAATGGTGCCGACGGCGGCCGGTCCCCCGATGGTACACTCGGGGGCAGAATGATGTTCCACCACTCCCTACCCATCGGGCGATCCCATGGCTCAGCACTGGCTGCTGTCAGTGTTGCCTGCCCTCGGCACTGCTCAGCACTGCATGCCAGTGCCAGTGCTGCCAGTGCTGCCACTGGCAGCAGCCAGTGCTGAGCCATGGGAGCTCGATGGGTAGGGAGTCGTGGAACATCAATCTGCCCCCGAGTGTACCATACCATAGATCAGAGGGCTGTTCACGGGCCCTGTGTGCGGTCGGACCGCACACAGCCTCCAAGCTCCGCCCACTGCGTCCCTACGTCAGCCTTCCGTCACCGCACACAGCGATCGCTGTGGCCGTCGGGACTGGCCACAGCGGACCGTCCACCGCACGCAGCCGTGACGTCAGAACCGCCTACCCATCCCCTACCCCCACGCCTGCTGGACGCACCGCACACAGCGCACGCAGCAGTGTGCGGTGCCCGTGAACACCCCTCTGGTAAACAGGTTAGTTCACATTCCCGCCGCTATGCGGGCGGCGGCGGCGCCACCTGTCCTCGTGTCCGCCTGACACCGTAACGATATAGGTCTGAGCTCAAATCTCGGTAATGTCGTGCTTTTTTACTATATTTCTCAAAAACGGCACCACGTGCAATAAAGTTGTATATATCATTGGAAAGAGCATCAAAAGTTGTATAACCTATCAACTTTTCACTTAAATATATCTCAACTGTAAAAAGTTATTAAGCAGCAAAGACGCTCCCATTCACTTTCCATGTTAAAATTTTTCATTTTTAAACGAGCCTAAAAAGAACAAACGAATTTGCACAGCTTAAAGAAGCATAACAATATGTTCTATGGTCTTTTCTCAACAAGTCCTGAAAGTTTAAACAAAATCGTATCATATAATTTTGTACAATGAGCGAATGAAAAAGTCTCTGCAAAAACGCCCATTGACTTAACATGGGGAGCGAAAAAAGTTCAACTTTGACCTCGTGCAAAGACACGTTACGAAGTTCTGAGGGGTATACGGCGCACACCAGCGTGTACCCAAACGTGTTTGCCATAAAATGCTGGGAAGAAAACCACCTCTTCCTTGGCTCGTTTTTCCGCTATTCCCGATCGCGCAAAAAGTGTCCAAAACCCCGTTGACTTAACATGGGGAAAATGGAATCGCACGTGCCACGTGCCACGAGGTTTTAAGCGAGTAGCGACCGGTGCCAACAGGTAGATCGCCTGCGGGAGCCCATACACTGAAATTTTTAAGAAAATCGAGCCACAAGTTTAGGCCTGACCCAAGTTGCCCCAATTCGCGGCCAGACATGCAAAACATAGCCCGGAGAAGGACCGCTCCGGTTGTTTTTCAATAGAAAAACACAATTCTAACGAATAGTGTTTGTCTTTTCAAACAACCTGCGGTTACTCCCCGGCGCCGTTTTCCTCCAGGGGAGGCGCCCCAGCCGCCGTACTGGGGCGTAGCGGAGTCCGTGCTTTTAGCACAGCAAAATATCCACCCAGGCTAGATTACCAGCATCTGCGATGCCGGGCTCCGCATCGCGGGACCGCAGGTTGTTTGAGCAAGCACCTCTGTACCGCCCGCCGCAAAACGCAAAACCGCAAAACTCGCAAAACGCACGCTCAAAACGCAACGCAAAAGCCGCAAAAAAACAATCGCCCGCAGGCACAAAACCGCAGAAAAAAACGCAAAAAAGCCGCAAAACGCAAACACCGCAAAAAACGCAAATACCACCGCCACAAAAAATCGCCCGCATCGCCCGCCGCCAAAGGCAAAACGCCGCAAAACGCGGCCGCCCGCCTAAAACCGCAACACCGCAAATAACGCCCGGCCGCCAGCGACCGCAAAACCCCGCAAAAAACGGCCGCCCGCCGCAAACTACAAAACGCCGCAAAAAACGGCCGCCCGCCGCAAACCGCCGCTAAAACGGCCGCCCGCCGCCAAACGCAAACACCGCAAAACACCCGCATCGCCCGCCCGCCCGCCGCCAAACACAAAAAACGCAAAAAACGCAAACACCGCCGCAAAAAAACGCCCGCAACGCACGCCCGCCCGCCGCCAACCGCAAAACGCCGCAAAAAACGGCCGCCCGCCGCCAAACAAAAACACCGCAAAAAACGCAAAAAACGCAAACGCAAAAAATTGGCACCGCAAAACAAAAAACAAAAAAGCACCGCCCGCCCGCCCACCGCCAAACATCGCCGCCGCAAAACCGCCCGCATCGCACGCGCGCCCGCCGCCAACCGTAAAACGCCGCAAAAACGGCCGCCCGCCGTCAAACGCAAAAACCGCAAAAAAGCGCCCGGCCGCCGCCAACCGAAAATAAACCTTATACCGAAAACGACGCAAAAACAAAACCACCGCATCGCGGCGGGCTTGCGATGGGCGAATTTTTCCATGGGCGATTTTTAGCCAAGCTCAGACTCGGGCTCTGAGTGGCGAGTATTCATCATGAGTGGTATTCATCATTAAAAACCTCCCCTCAGGTATGCAAGGTCTCCATGTGTCTCCATATGTCTCCATGTGCATACACTACACACCTGGAAAGCCTGTAATGTAAGTAATGTGTCTCGTGCGTCTATCTATGGTTTCCGATTTATGTACTCCACCAGCCTGAAAATGGCGTCACAGAGCAAACGTCACAGCAGCCGTCACAGCAGTCGAAAACGGATTGTATTATTTTGTATTTAATCACCTTTTGCTGGCGTCACAGTCATCGGTGACGTCATTACTCGCGTCTCTCGGCGCTCTGACACTAGTAATAAGCCATTGTTCATAATGTTCTCGATAAATTCGTGTACTGTGCATCACGGTAAATAGATTTCTGCGACGCTGGACGTGGCCGAAAAAAAAGATGAAGCGGAAAGTGAGTAAGTAAGACCTACCTGACACACGGGACAGTTGTTTTGAACATCACCAGGTGAACAACGAGGCATCGATATTCCATACCAACGAAAAGTTTTCCATCTCTTGGTATATTAGCCGTAGGCTAATATTCCAGGCAGCGGCACGAGGAGCCGGATGGAGGAAACATGGATGCACGCTTGGTAAGGGCAGGATAGTATATTAGGACGTGAGCTTTACCAAAAGGCATCCACGCACCGCGCTGCCCGCCCTTGACGCAATTAGCAAATAAGTTGGCTCCAAATGTGATAGCCAACTTTCAATTACGTTAATTCAAGTTCGAAAGATGATTGGTGTTACTAAAAAAGACTACGTCAAGAGCCCGTTACGATGTAACGGAAGACAAACCAGCCACTCCACACCTAGGCAGTTTTCACACGCATTCCTGCATTCACACTCGCCATTTCGTGCACCGGCCTGCCCGCTGCACAACGTAATATCTATGGCAACTATACTGTCTAAGGCATGATTGTTGCTCCTAATGGTTTTCTTTTTCACAGACTGGTGTGTGTTTTACATGAAAATATAATGTAGTAGATGATACCTGTTCATTTCATCACTAAACGTGTGAAATGTTCAAATCATGTTGGTATGTGGATAAGAACCTAAACTAGGAATTTAAAGTGTATAAATGTCGGTGGCTGCTGGACGCATCTGCAACTGAGCTCATGGTCCTAATCATCCGCGAAAGCGACGAAACTACAGAAATGTCACGATAAAGATGCGCAGTACCCTGTATGTTCATGGCATACAGCTGCAAGCTAAGACAAAACTAGAAACGATCTTTGGGTAGAACATATAAAGTGAAGCAATACCAATGCAGAACTACTTGGAGTCACAGGAACCAATGTGTCCAACATATCAATCAGCTAACATGTAAGGACGCATGTGTAAGGCCGCATGTGCAACTGTAATCCCTCTTGATCGACTACAAGAATGGAAAGAAAACGTCAACGGAGTAAAACTTCACCATGCGAATCTGCGTATAACAACTGGCATTCGTGAACAAGTATGCACAACAGATGTGAGGTGAGGACGCGGTGTCATTGCGATACAACATCAACTGATGCAATATTGGAATGCATTTTGCACTCATTCTTGCATATTGATAAGATCAAAAGTAAGGCGATAATGTGGATAAGTGTGTTGACAGATGTCGAAGACTGACGGTGATAACGAACAGGCGACCGGATTGATGGTGATGCGCCTGACCGATCGTTGGAGTGCATGTCGAATCTGATGTCTATGGAAAACGGCAAAGGAGAAAACAGGACTATGGTGAAGGGCTGTTCTAACATCACATGAAACGGGAATGAGCAGTAACACCTGCCAATGAAAGCAGTGAAAAACAGCGAAACTGCCTGTTTATCCTGCCATGGTGCTGATAAGTCAAGTTTTGTTTATGTGTGTGTGGAAAGCGGTAGGGCGCTATGCGCTAAGCTATCATCCGTTTTAGCTTTGGTATCACAATACAAGTATTAGGTGCTCGCACACTACTGCCAGTAGTTCAGTCGGTACTGAGTAGCCCGCAGCTAATAACAACCTGATATTTACTTCCTGCACAATTCACAAACGTAGATGGCAGATAGCATTATGATGAGTCTGATCGACGATGATGAATGAAATAGTCATTTGAAGTCGTTGAAAGATGACGATGTCCGGGTCACAACGAAGTGACTTAAAACTTGCAGGATGAATAACTGATGATTGGGCCGATGAATGTGGCTTGTGCTGCAGCCGAAGCCTGTGGGGACGGAAGACCGGTGAGGTACAAATCGAGCAAGGAAACGAGACGTGAATGTACACCAAGCAAAATGATATTTAGCTATCATAAGCGTTGACAGTTGACAATGGTGAATAGTCGAGCTGTTCGCCATATTGGACCTTCACATCATAGCCATTGCAATATCAAGCTCCCCTAATTGTCATTAGCTTTCGCAGCCCAAGTCCAGTATTAAGTGCTCAAAGAACTTGCCAAGGCAATATAGTTGTGAGCAGACCGAAGTTCATGGACGGATGATAACATTTGCTTCTAGCAAAAAGTAGACGACGTCCAGCGCTATAGTCGAACAGTGCCACTGCCAGCAAGGGAAAAGGTTTGCGAAAAAAAATAATACCGGGCCAATTCGGTTAGATGGTTATGGAATGGACCATATTAAAGCATTTAGAAATCCGCCCCCCACCCCCACCCCGTCGGTGCGCGGGATATATTTGATTGATATGTGTAGACATTGCTTTAAAAATACAGTAAAACACTGAAAACCAAAGCAACGTTGGAATGATTTTCCGTAGGTATGCGTTTAGTTAGCCAAGCAAACAAAGCCACAGGCTCTTACACATATTACAGAGTGCTCCGGCACTGGTGTAACAAACAACTCACTTGCACTGGGGTTCTGGCTCACAGAGTAGATCCAACAGATAACAGGTCGCATTCAGCATTGCGCCGGACACTATACTGAAAATGTTGACAAGTGTCTGTCAGTAAACGCAAACATCAATCCCAATAGATAGGTACATGAAGACGATGACAAACATGTTGGCATTGTGTATAGGAATGAGGACAGTAAATGATCACACAAAATGTAAAGCATTCTGCAACGTGTTGACAATGGACATTCAAATATGAATACATACCAGCCGTACGCAAGTGTCTTCGAAAATGTTGATCTCTTGATGGTGATGGAGAACGTGTATCACGTCCACAGGCTTCAAGAAGTCGATCCATTGTCCGCATATTGTTCAATTTGGTCAACACAAGGGTTTTCAACGCATGCGTAAACCGATGGCGAGAGCATTAAAGAACGTTTGAGCATGTGACTGAAATACTCAAAGACACAAGTTGGAGGAAGGAGCAGGCGAAAAAAAAAGAAAGATAACAACGCAGTATATGAGCATCGTGTTCCAGTGCTAAAAATGTAACTAAACAGGAAATGCAATATCATGTGTCGATCGCTCATGAGTGTGAACACATGCTTACATAGATGCAAACCTACACTATACGAAAACCTGACTGCTTTTTACGAGTGATTAACTGCTACATTCAGTGGACTGCATCATGTGGTACATGTTTGCGGGCGGAGCATGTCTACCGAATTCATTGGCAATACAATTAAAACAAACACACACATACGTAGAACTAGATGATGAGAGCTAGTGTAAGTGGGTGTACAGGTGGCTAATGTATATCTGCAGATAACTAATAGCTAGTGACAAATAAAAAAGTGCCAGCAACGGCCAGCGCAATGGGTGCTCCGTGATCGACGGTAAAATCTTCAACGGTATCGACGGTAAAGATGACAGGTAATGCACCTGTGAAAATAGGAGAAGCAACGGATGATTAGCTGACATGACAGCAAGTCGAAACGAATCGTCGATAAAATATAATATGTCAAGTCCGCGGATTTCTAAGCTTATGATTTTTCGATTTCGACGACTGTGAGTGAAAATGCATATCAGATGAGATATTCGATAAATATTACTAAAACCCTTAGAAGTCAATAGGCAGAGGGCTACAAGCCTACTTTATTCAACGTTGAATACCCACCCATAAAGGTCAGTTCATCCGAGTATTACCGCCTCCAAAAAATATTAACGTTTTGTAGGCATACAGTACCGTAAAACCGTTTGGAATCTTGGAGCAGAGCTGTTCGTTAAGCTAACAGCATCCTTTGATAATGAAATGGGCCGGAGGCAGAAACTGGCACTTGAGAATGCAGAGGCAGTCATCACACAGTCCCAGAAGACGTGACTGGACAAGGCGTCCAAGCGGCGCCTGGTCATACACGGTTGCCATTGGATACTGCGAAATCAGCCTGCAGGCACATAAGGACAATGAGTTAAAGTTTTGAACACGCTTTTCGTTCCCTTGTTGCATTACAAAAAAAAAATATTAACGTTGTGTAGGCATATCTGGTTTGGTAGCGTGTACCATTATGCTCCCATTCCACTTACTGGTCACAGATCCAAACTCATGAAACTCCTAGATGCCGTTCATGATGACGAGTGTGTTCAATGAAGCTTATTCTGATGCATGATGCACTGGTATGGTATGGTATGGTATTTGTAGCTTACGGGCCACCACAGCGTCCTGTATTTGGGCCCGGTTCTGTCGTCCGTCTTCGTTGTTGGTCCGTCCGTTGCCTTGAAGTGTCCGTTGTCTTCTTGGCTCGTAAGGGTGGGCTGAGGGGTGGGACTGGGTTCCTAGCTATCTCCTCCCGGGTAGCCGGATTGCCCCTTCTATTATTTTTTTTTTGTTTTTGTTTTTTTTTTGCCATTTTGCCATTCTGGGGTCTTTTATTTTGATTCTCATTGTTTTGAATATTGTTTTTTCTTTTTTGCTTCTTTTTTTGGCTTTTTTGGCTTTTTTGTCCTTGGCTCTAGGGGAGGAGATTTACAGGTCATTGATCAGCCCAGTGTTGTGTCTTTAGTGGATGAGTAGTGTTGTTAGCTCGGGGTGTAAGTCCCCGAGCAGTGTTGTGAGTGTTAGTGGGATGTTGGCGTCTCTGCAGTATGTTTGTATGTGTGTCCTGTGGTGTTGGTATTGTGGGCATGTGAGTAGCAGATGTTTGACAGTGATGAAAGTGTTGCAGGTGTTGCATTTCGGTCTCGGGCTTCTTGTGATGATGTAGTTGTGTGTGATAGCGGTGTGTCCAATGCGAAGTCGTGTGATAGCCCTCTCGTTTTTGCGTGAGTTCATGTTCTTGGTGTGCCAGTGTTCTATGCGTGGTTGAATGCATCATGCACTTCTGGACAGTGATTGATATCCGACTTGCTTGGGCGAGTGTATGCGAGTGATGTGTAGTGGTGACCAATTGTACCAAAAGAAAATGACATTGAGAACATGATTTACAAGCGCAACATGCGGCACAACTCACGTGCATACAACGACAAGAAAAACAGGAAATGTCGTAAATGACGCCATAAAACATTGTATGGCCTACAAATATATCCGCAACGCAATCCTGGCTTGAGCTAATTCAGTACCTACTTTCGCGGGAACACTTTAACTCATGTAGGTAATGTTCACACGACGCAAGACTCATATACAAACATACAACACTAAAAACACAGAACACGGACATTTTGTAGCAGTATTGCATTGTATCAGCAGCGAGGTGGAAAACTGGCGGCATCTTTGTCTCAAACTACGTGCCAGCGGTGCAATAGGCAGCTGGCATTCAGATCTAGCAATAATGTGTGCTCATGATGTTAATGGCAACTGTGAGGAGGATGAAACAATTCTGAATTTGATAGGACAAAACTGTCTGGCCAATCTGTTCCGAGCACAACTCACTTTCCCTGGACATGCAGAGTATGTGTTGCTGTGAGTTAGGTACTTATCAGATGTCACATCGCTCTGCTTATGGTAGACCTGCAATATGTGACTTGCATGTAAACCCTGCCAGCAGCATGTAGTTTTGCACAATAAAACTGTTTTCTCTGTGTGGGCTTGCATATTTCGTTGGCAGCAGGCAGGCACAATGCTAGTTCCATACACCACTGACTACACGCACTCATGCACGTATTTACTTGAAAACTAGTACCAATTCACTCATTCACTAAATTACGTGTAAGATGACACGCACACCCTCACATACGCACATACATACCCACACACCCACATCCACCCTTACACACTCACAGGCACACATGCTCACAAATACCAATCATTCAGGGTTTCCGATGAGATGAAGTGTGTCTACTGTTTTCTGCCACATTACGTCATCACCAAAAGGATTGAATCAAAAGTATCTAGGGTTAAGAAGCATAAACAATTGCTGACACATACTTGTCACTTACTTCTAATATGCCCTACTGCAACCATAAGATTCAGTTGAACCACTTTGCTCATCTTTACTTTCAAGCTGACAATCAGCATTGACGAATCAGCATTGGTTTGGCCTTCATGAAAGCTTACGTCAATAGCGCAAATAAATAACTTGCTTGTAGACGAATGGCTTTTAGTATGAATGCACATAGGTAAAGTGAACTGCGCACATGCTGTGACAAACTTTTGTTTGACTAGTAAGAAAACAGTAGACACACTTGCTAGTTTGGATAAAGGGATATTCTCGTGCGTGTAAACGGTTAATATATTCGAATTTGAGGTTGACAAAATGTCAACGGTCGTTTGTGACGAACGGGGACTATATAGTAACAGTTACTGAAGTTTGGAGGACGTATCGACTGCTGAAATAATGTTTGCCAATGAGCAAGAACATCATGCGATAACATGATTAACCAGATACGTTAGTTCCGACTAACATTGCGTCGTAGTTTCGGATACTCCGAATGGAACTTGAAAACGTTAACAAATACTTTTGTTATCGGCCATCGTACAATGCTTGAAACAGTGCCTAAAGCAAACAGTCAACGTCCGTAAATATAGTCTGGTGCAGCATGTGCACTAATGGTATTGAACATGCATGTCGATGACCCGACATGCACGTCATGGACAGTGCAGTATGACGAGAATATCCCTTTAGTTGTTTAGAAGTTGAAGGTCTTGAAGTAGAAGGTCTTGAAGTTGAAGGTCCGCGGAGAAAGCTCGCCACCGTAGACACTATAGCCGGGGATAACAGCAGCAATTAAAATTTCATTTGGCAAATAAGTGACGATGAGGCACAACTGCAAATAATCTTTTTCTTGACCGCCTTCCATCAGCAACGTGCTATAGTACCATAATTGCCAGAAGAAAAAACGCTCATTTGCAGCCTCATTTTATAGACATCTGTTGAAGGAAATATATTTTCTTTTACCTTTAACAGTCCGCAAACTTTGCTGGCATGAGCGATTAAGCGCTAGAAGTTGAAGCTTGATCTAACGAAAAGGAAACAATACTTAAGCTCATGATGCATAGACAAATATGCACTGAGAGTCCGGATGCGGCAGTGAAAGCGTGTGTCAACTGACGCAAGGTTACAATGCTATTTACCGACGAAAAACGCGATTTTGAAGCATTTTCGTGGATAAAGTGAATGTAGACTCAGACGTATTAGTTATAGTATGCTTGAATAATGAAAAAATATCAATTAAGAGAAGCTTTGCA